AAGTGTCCTGGCCGAGACAGGCAGCAACACAGTCACAGACAGACAACAGCATCCACACACACATCATTACTCATAAAACACGGTGTGATTACATTTAGAGGATAAGAAACCAGCAGAGATCAGAAACATAACTAGCAAAAATAATCATCTGTTGAAACATCTACAGACTGATGATTTTACCTCCAAGTCATTTCTAAACACTTTAAAAGTGTTTAAAGAAACCAGCTGTTGCAGTTCCAGGTCTATTTGTAAAGTGTTCCCGGTAGAGGGAGCAGCCAATTTAAAAGCTTTCCTTCCCTGTTCTGTCCTCGCCTTGGGAACAGATGGTAGCAACAGATCCAGACTGGAACCACTTGCAGCTTTTGTCCAAATAAAAACCTGTAAATAATGAGGAAGCAAGCCTAAAACACATTTATAAATTAAAATATGTTTTTGCCTTCGTGTGGTCAAATCTGACCATCCAATAAGAGAGTACAACACACAATGACGAGTAAAAGACTTAAAACTGGTGACATTTTAAAGTAATACGAGGAGACCTCACATGGTATCGGGAAGAACTTTAAGTACTATTATGGAAAGAAAGAAACCTAACAAATCCAAACAATACCCTTTAATAGGTTGGGAAGGAAAACTTTGGACAGGAAGAAACCTCTGAGGCTCGGGGAGGGCAGACGTCTGCCTCCACTGGCTGGGGTGAGGATGGAGGGGAGAGAGAAAACAGACAAACACACACACACACACACAAAAACAACAAACACATACTTGCAGCTCTGACATCAATGCAGAAAGAACAAAACTACAGCACTCACATTTACCAACATGCAATAATAAATGTACAGAGAATGAAGGAGAAGGGAGGAGCGCAATGCATCATGGGAAGTCCACCAGGGATGGGGACGGTTAGAGCAGCTCTAGCTAACTGAGTGAGATGTTGTTCTCCAGTTTATTCCCAAACAAGACCAAAAAACGAGTCCAATTAGAATCGTTTTTGATCACTATTGTCTTGACATGAAGATACACAACTCTCTAGTGCAGCGCATCGACAGCTTGACATGACCTTTAAGGAAAAATACTACAAGTGAAGAGTAAATAAAAATAACGGAGCCCCGGAAGGGACATGGAGAAAGAAAAAACAGGGAGAGGGGGAAAAAAAATAGAGGTATCTTTTGTGAGATCTCGCAAAACTTTCTCAGGATCTCGCAAAACCATAGGCAACTCCAGTCAGGTAGGTGGTGGTTAATGCACCTGAGCATCGGAGGGAAGAAGAAGAAGAAGAAGAAGAAGAAGAAGACTATAGGTATATATACTTGTGGGTCTTTCTGGCAGTGTGGATGGAGAAACGACTATGGAGGACACCCACCCATACGAGAGTTTTATTGAGTTTTATGTTGAAGTCGGCCTAAAATATAAAGACATTTAATCAGCGCTTAGCCACAGGCACAGTTCTTGCAAAACATCCAATAAGACTGACGTGACTTTCTCGGGCAAAGCTTTCTCAGGATCTCACAAAAGATACCTCTATGCCCCCCCTCTCCTTGTTTTTTTTCTTCCTCCATGTCCCTTCTGGGGTGCTGTAAAAAATAAACCGGTATCTCCATAAAACTTCTCCAGCTGGTTGTAAACATCAAAACTATCTCTTTTTTTTGTGTTACAAGTTTAAATAAAATATTTGCATAATCTTACACAACAGAAACCGGAATATTCTTGTATATTTTTGTTGACATACAAGAGTTCAAGGTTCCTAAAGAGGAAGTTCTGGATCAGCTAGAGTTTTTTTTTTCAGAGAGTTATTGGGACATCCTGTTAATAAGGAGCTACAATAGTCCAGCCTTGAAGTTTTACATGCATGGACCAGTTTTTGAGTGAGTACTTTCCTGATTTTGATGATTTTGTGCAGGTGAAACTTGTTTAATTGTGAGTTTGTGGTTAAAAATACCTCCAAAGTTCCACATGGTAAAAGTTTCCAAACCGCTCAATGTGCAATCAAACTAAAAGTTGATCATTTCTGTGAACAAAACAAGATGCACCATCCTAATTCCTCCATATACCATCCCTTTAAGTCTTGGGTAGGGGTGTCTGTTTTTACGAGAAAACAGGCTGTGCAGGTTTAAATGGCCACCAGCCTCCAGCAGTGCAGGTAACAACTGGATTCAATTCAATCATTTGTGCTTTTTCTAAACTGTTCAACTCTGCACAGCTGAGAAGACAGTTTCTGATTTTAATGAGAAAAACCCCATCACACTCAGTATTTACCCATGTAGTACCATGTAGACGAGCTACTGATGTTCCTGCACAGCTGCATTCTCCTCGCCGCCTGCCAGGTGGAGCAAGTGAACCATGTTTAGACGTGAATAAATGCCTGCACACTCACACGTAGACGCAAATAGTCTAATATAACCTGTTTTAAGATTTAAATACCTCCTATTGAGTAACTATGAACCTCAACGTTTGTCTACATGAAGAATACTCAACATGTTTATGTCTAAATCAACCTGAACTACTGGCTTCAGAAGCAAAGTGTTTTTT